GCCAGATAGGTACGTGTGGCACCGGAAGCGGCCCCCGCTGTTTGCGGTACCGCGCGCACGCACCAACCTTGTAAAGGAGACCACACTAAACCGAGTGCTGCACACTAAATAAAGTAGCTTAGTTCCTTGGGTGAATTCACAAAAGTGACATTATATGTATTATGTTATAATAGTAGAAAGTTGTGTTCTGTCCTTCCTAAATTAGATAGTTTTATGTGCCTACACTGTCGTATTAGGTACGCTTGTAAAAACAGAGGTAGAAAAAAAATTAAATAAAAATATTGAGGAACATTCTATTCCGTTATAGCCATTACTCAGCTTTTTGTCACCTAGCTCCCATCCGCCAAACCCGTACTAGATAAGAAACTTCGTTCCAATATCGCAATTGTTGGAAAATTCCATATCTTCCGTATATCAGATGCTAGTTAGACACATGAAGAAATAGAAAAATAACATGAACTTATGAATTCATAAAAATATTATTACAAAAGTCATTGGCGCCTGTCTACCCCTAGTGGAAGATTCAATCCACCTGATGGTAAGTAGATGTTATGAACCAGAGACAAATACTTTCATCCTTTAATAAGAATCAAAATGCAGTTACATGTCACCTTTGAGACCTATACCAGTAAAAAAAAAGTTTCCGGTTCTTTTCTTGCATTTCGTTACCAAATCAGTGCAATTTATCTAAAACACACCTAAAATTGTTGATTTTATCGCATTTAATGTTGGCTGTGGCAGAATACCAGCGGTTACCTCAAATCACCATATAGCTGAGTCACAGGCCAGTTTGTCTCTTTACTTTTATGTTACCTAAGCATGTTTCTAAGATAAGTTTGTGATAATCTTTTTTGTACACTTTTGTACACAATTCACACAACCATGTGTGAATTGAGACATATAAAATGTTTATTATTTTAATTTTATTTATTTAGTTTTAAATCTCGGTTTCTACCGGTTTACTTATAGCACGAGCCTAAGACAAGTGCATGTTAGTGCTATATTTGATCTTATCCTGTAAGTTACCTTATTCAGTTACCTGTGTGTTAGGTTGTGAGGTAATTTTCCTAAGTAAGGTGTGGTCTGTTCTTCAGTTTGTAGGAACTTCCTAACTATGCTGTATGCATTTAGAATTACAGCTTTCTGTAACATTTTGTTGGTGTTGGTTGGTAAATTTAGGGTTTTATAGATTGGTGTAATTGCTGCGGTATTACGCCTGTTGTTGATAGTACTATGGGCACTATAATTACTTTTTGGAGAGATTTTCAGCTATTGTAATTTGTATATTGTGCGTATTAGGGACTGCTTTCTCTATAAGGTATGCGGTTTTGTTAATTTTATTAATTAAATGTAATATTTGATCCTTCTTTGTCGATATTAGGTTGACAGATTTCATTTCGATGTCTTCCAAGTAGAGACTTAACAGCCCATTTGGTGAGTTTTGTTTTGTCGTCTGTCTGTTTTTCGGAGTTTTGTGTAGTGTTTCCTTTTAAGTTCAATGGTGTTAATTTATTATCATTTTGTATTATTCCTTGTAGAGTGTGGGAGATTCTGATTTATTGAAGAAGTGTTATCTCAGGGTTGTAATTTGCTTGTTATGTAAAATTGTTATATCGATTATTCCCCTACCGCCTTCTTTTCTTGGCAAAGTCAGTCTAAGCAAGCATGACCTTGGATGATGTTTTCGAAATCTGGTCAGTGTTGTGTTTATTATGCGTTGTAGAGCTTTTAAATCAGACTTTGTCCAGTTTATTATGCCGAAAAAATAAGTGAGTATTGGTATAGCAAAAGTATTGATGGCCTTTATCGCGTTTCGTGCATTTAATTGTGTCTTTAGTATTGTGTTGAGTCGATGTCGAAACTGTTGTTTTAATTTTTCTTTAGTATATTTGTCGTAACTGGTTGTAACCTAGATACTTATATGCCTCCTGTTCATCTAGTGCTTCTATCTTATCTCCAGTTTGTTTTAAAAATGTTGTTAACGATTGGCAGCCTCGTACCAGCAAGCGATGTGTAGCCCACTTCTAACTGGATGGAGTAGTATTTGGTAACAGTTACAGGAAATTGATGGATGTAGTTGGCTCAGAATCAGATCGAATACACACTTCCTTTATTGTCAGGCTTCTCATGTTGGTCATGTATTAGGTTTTCTCGTGATGTTTTTCTTCACCACTAAAAATTGCAATTGTTATTTCGTTAATAATATATTTAATAACTATATATTCTGTTTCGTTATAGAAGTAAGATTATGATAACATCATAGCCCACCTGTGAATGTAATTGCCCATAGATATCTATAACTACATTCGATTGAAAACAAATAACGAGTATAATATGCAAGTCTAGTCGGCAAACAGATCATCTTCAAGAGATATGCATGTATAAATAACTAAAATGTGCTACAAAAAATATATGCAGGTGGAGGAGGTTTCAATACTAGCAGATATAAGTCTACTGCTGAACACAAGCCTCCCGCGAGGTATGCCACAAAGTACAGTTCTGAGCCAGCTACATCCATCAATTTCCTGTAACTGTTACCAAATACTACTCCATCCAGTTAGAAGTGGGCTACACATCGCTTGCTGGTACGAGGCTGCCAATCGTTAACAACATTTTTAAAACAAACTGGAGATAAGATAGAAGCACTAGATGAACAGGAGGCATATAAGTATCTAGGTTACAACCAGTTACGACAAATATACTAAAGAAAAATTAAAACAACAGTTTCGACATCGACTCAACACAATACTAAAGACACAATTAAATGCACGAAACGCGATAAAGGCCATCAATACTTTTGCTATACCAATACTCACTTATTTTTTCGGCATAATAAACTGGACAAAGTCTGATTTAAAAGCTCTACAACGCATAATAAACACAACACTGACCAGATTTCGAAAACATTATCCAAGGTCATGCTTGCTTAGACTGCCTTTGCCAAGAAAAGAAGGCGGTAGGGGAATAATCGATATAACAATTTTACATAACAAGCAAATTACAACCCTGAGATAACACTTCTTCAATAAATCAGAATCTCCCACACTCTACAAGGCATAATACAAAATGATAATAAATTAACACCATTGAACTTAAAAGGAAACACTACACAAAACTCCGAAAAACAGACAGACGACAAAACAAAACTCACCAAATGGGCTGTTAAGTCTCTACTTGGAAGACATCGAAATGAAATCTGTCAACCTAATATCGACAAAGAAGGATCAAATATTACATTAATTAATAAAATTAACAAAACCGCATACCTTATAGAGAAAGCAGTCCCTAATACGCACAATATACAAATTACAATAGCTGAAAATCTCTCCAAAAAGTAATTATAGTGCCCATAGTACTATCAACAACAGGCGTAATACCGCAGCAATTACACCAATCTATAAAACCCTAAATTTATCAACCAACACCAACAAACTGTTACAGAAAGCTGTAATTCTAAATGCATACAGCATAGTTAGGAAGTTCCTACAAACTGAAGAACAGACCACACCTTACTTAGGAAAATTACCTCACAACCTAACACACAGGTAACTGAATAAGGTAACTTACAGGATAAGATCAAATATAGCACTAACATGCACTTGTCTTAGGCTCGTGCTATAAGTAAACCGGTAGAAACCGAGATTTAAAACTAAATAAATAAAATAAAAAATAATAAACATTTTATATGTCTCAATTCACACATGGTTGTGTGAATTGTGTACAAAAGTGTACAAAAAAGATTATCACAAACTTATCTTAGAAACATGCTTAGGTAACATAAAAGTAATGAGACAAACTGGCCTGTGACTCAGCTATGTGGTGATTTGAGGTCACCGCTGGTATTCTGCCACAGCCAACATTAAATGCGATAAAATCAACAATTTTAGGTGTGTTTTAGATAAATCGCACTGATTTGGTAACGAAATGCAAGAAAAGAACCGGAAACTTTTTTTTACTGGTATAGGTCTCAAAGGTGACATGTAACTGCATTTTGATTCTTATTAAAGGATGAAAGTATTTGTCTCTGGTTCATAACATCTACTTACCATCAGTTAGATTGAGTCTTCCACTAGGGGTAGACAGGCTCCAATGATATTTGTAATAATATTGTTTTGAATTCATAAGTTCATGTTATTTTTCTATTTCTTCATGTGTCCAACTAGAATTTGTTATACGAAAGATATGGAATTTTCAAACAATTGCGATATTGGAACGAAGTTCCTTATCTAGTACGGATTTGGCGGATGGGAGCTAGTAGACAAAAAGCTGAGTAATGGCTATTACGGAATAGAATGTTCCTCAATATTTTTTTTATTTTTTTTTTCTACCTCTGTCTTTACAAGTGGCCTAATACGACAGTGCAGGCACATAAAACTATCTAATTTAGCAAGGACAGAACACAACTTTCTACTATTATAACATAATACATATAATGTCACAAACTCCCTCCTAACCCCCAGTTTGTTATACCCCATCATGCCCAGTACAAATAATGTTGGATACATTAATGGGTAGAACGGATACACTCCATATGATTTTAAATAAAGAAATCGAATGAACTTATTTTGTATCCGTTCCACCATCAATTTGTACTTAGCCTCATGCGGGCTCCATATAAAGCCATTACACTTTATTTATTTATTTAACACCAACAAGACATACACTAACAAAAGCATAATATTTTTGCAAAAAATCATAAAAACTAAGTGTTGACTTAATTACAGGTGTTACACACATTTCATAAAAAAAATAGACACAAGTAGACATATGCAGTGAATTAAATTGAATACAAGAATTAAGAGATCAATAAATATATCAGAATTTAGTATTATATAATCATTTAAATTAAATCATGCATTGATTCCACTATTGCTATTAACATTATAAATTTTATAAACGTTAAACATAACAAAAATAAAATAATTAATAAATCATAATATACAATCATTACTTAATCATAATTTAGCTTTTATATTACTAGTAAGAAAAACAATATAATTTTACTGTGAATTACAATTATTTGAAGAATATAAATTTAATAAATCACTTTTAAATTTCCAAAGATTATCTGAAAATATGTCAATATCAACTTTTCTATCCTTATGTTTATTATAAGTATTCATTATGGCACTAATACAATTCTTATGTGATAATTTATATATAGCATTATAACTCAACATCAAACTATTAATCGGAGAATAGCGCGCTTGACGAGAACGTGTGCTCTTTTCTACGAATGGTATAAAAGACAACGGCCTTTTTGACTTCAATGGGGTACGAAAATTTAATTTGGCTAGTAAATAAGAACTATCAATGACGCCATTCACCAACTTATACAAGAAAATAAGGTCAAGGAGCTGTCTTCGATTCGAAAGTGGCTGAACGTTAAAGTAATTTAGCCTATCTTCGTAAGTTCTAAGAATTTTAACTAGATTATGATCGTAAGATAAATACGAAAGAAATCTCTTTTGTATCTTTTCGATTCTGTGTGAGTAAATATTAAAGTGGGGATTCCATACTACGCTGCAGTATTCCAAGATACTTCGTACCAAGGCTGAGTAAATAATTATTTTAGTGCGAGTATCCCTGAATTGCTTACAGTTACGGAAGAGGAAGCCAAGAGTCCTAAAACCCTTGTTGACAACATTATCGATGTGGATATTATAACGAAGCTTATTGTCAAGCGTAACTCCTAAATCGCGTATGTGAGGAACTTCAGACAGAATACGACCATCAATGTAATATGTTGTTGCAAGAGATGTTTTCTTTCTAGAAAACTTTATATCATGACATTTGTCAGCATTTAGTGTCATACCGACTGTCACTCTAGGTGACTTTACACTAGTGTTTCATACAAGGCCCGGACCGCATTGAGATTTGTAAATTCTCGCGACTGATACAACACAAATATCGATACGCCTAACTAAATTTCGATACGCCTTCTTGCAAATTTTAAGAATGTGTTCCCTAAAATTGAGTTTCGAAGTAAAGTGAACTCCAAGGTCTTTTACCTCTGTTACCTGCTGCAAGGCTACTCCATCTATATTATATTTGTATATGTGAGGATGGCGTGAATGTGTGAACGACATGACTGAGCATTTGGACGTGTTAAAAAATAACTTATTCAACTTTTATTTAAGTTGTATTTCGCGAATGACTTCCATCGAATACCACTGTGGGTAACTATACCTACTGTTTACTAACCTATGCTTTTTAACAGGAACACAGTTATCTAATATATTATTTCTAGTACGATAGAAATAGTCTAGAGCCACCTCTAAATCAAAAATTGTGTAGAATTCACTCCAATCAATCATAGAAATACTACTGTATAACAAACTGAAGTCTGCCTTGGAAAAACTCCATTGTTCCTGGTCACCTGAGCATTTGTTGTCCGTCGTAGCGTGTTCTTCGAAATCCGTCGCTGACAGGCAGACAATGGTGGATGACAATCATCTACCGGTTGTAAACCCTCAGTCTCACGCACTGATATCACACCTGTTATAACACTACAGTATAATACTAAGTCTAATGGTCTGCCCATGAAATTCTCCACACTATATTTATATTAAGGGTACGTAATTATGTAAATTTTGTATGTATATTCTATACCATCACGCTCGAGTGAACAGGAAAATTAATTATGAATACTTTATTGAAAATAATTGAAGACGTAGTTTTAATAAAATAACCGATATAACAGGTCATAAAATATACTACACCTAGGAAGAAGTTTTTTTTTATTGTGAACTTATAAAAGAGCACCGACAATAAGAGCTTGTCTTACAATTTTATAGTACACGAGAAAACAGAATTTGAACCAGGCTGGCCATAGTAAAATTGTAATTTATAAATTGAATAGCTGATTTACCACGTACAAAAGAACGTACTAGAAGAAAAGATCGTAGGGACGGTTAGGTTACGCCGAAGTCAAATATTTTTATTCAAAATAAGTTTTTATAAAGCACTTTTTGAAATTAAAATGCTACAATTTGAAGGTCGATAATGATTCCCGATTAAGATTCAAAATGGAAACGCGTTGTCACCCCTGATGACTAAGGTAGAACTCATCGTTTCAAAAAGGGTCTCTGGTCCAAAATGTTGTCTAGAGGACATTTAAAGTTCCGCGAAAGTCCACTATTTACGACACAAAGTTCATAGTCTATAGCATGGCCCTAGTTTCAAACACCAACCATATCAAATAATTGTTGTCGGTACTGACTATACGCAAGTTATTGCAAAAAAGAACCATATTAAAGCAAACGTATAACGTGATATACGATTAGGTTAGAACAAATTTGCGACACATTTCGTGTTAATTTGCGGCGTAAAGTTTAGGTACTTAATAACTTCAAACTTCGAAATGCGAAAACATTTCCATCATTATCAAACATGTAATCGAAAAAAAACTTTTCGTACAACTAAAAGACGACTAGAGAACAATTTATAAGAATAAAAAAAGCATGTGTTCGCCGTTCATACGCAGTAGAAGTAAAACCTTAAGAAAACTAAATTTCGAGAGAATGAGACGTATGCAGAGTATGAGGATTAGGATAATTGTAGGGTTCATTTATTATAATATTGTTACCAAATTTAAAAATTGTTTTACATTTTATTCTACATATATTACATAACATATTATACAAGCACAAAGTTTTCAATTTCATCATCGTAAGTACTTAAATATTTTCTCATCAACAAATTCCGTCCTTAATCTTTACTGCTTATAGATCACATGCATAATAGGAAACACTGTATACTGTATTCTATCTCATACATTCGCAGGCTAAATCGTATACATGAAGAAAATACAAAGAGGAGGTGTAATTAAGTTTCACTATGCAACAACGTGTTACAATTTGCGGGGTGAGGGGATGTTAAGGCCCGCCCACTTTACAATATCTACATCTACCGATAAGTAGTAAAACTACTCGTAGTTTACCTACCTTGACGATAGATGGCGGCCTGTTCACAAAATGATTATACACTATAAAATTAATATTTACCAATACTGAGCTCTACGTACCTTTATATTTTTAGTTCAAAAAATGTCGCCATCTAGTGTCGGATATATTTAATTATATTTGAAAGCCGACGTAAAGAGATTTTTCTAGAACTATTTTAATAAATTTGATGTAAAATTACTTACAAATGAAATGTGATGCCATCCATAGCATCAGAGCGTCTATCTGAGTAGTTTATACACGATAAAACACAACACTTCATCATTTTCTTCTTAATACTACGAAAATACACCGATTTGCGATTTTCTACACATAAGTGAACAGTACGAATGCTGACAGTATACTAACTAAAGGCAAGCCCACTATGATGACGTCAGGACCTACTTAGAATCACAATGCACAGTTGCTTATGCCGTCTCCTCTTTGAATTTGGTTCATGATCGTATAGATGTATATGTTTGTTTTTTTAGTGTCACTTTTTCGTTTTCTCTAGTTTCAAATCACAACAATTCTAAAGTAATTTACACTTCAATAGTTTCATATTCTGAAGTTGGCGATAAGACATGTTCTGTTGCTTTAAACAAGAAATAAAGCCGCAACTTCAGTACAAATATAATATATAATATGTTTTATTATTTTTAGTTGCTTGAAATTGGCTCTTACTTTTTATTAAAATATATTTATTTTCGTTTTCAAATGGACTAAGGAATATTATAATCCTAATGCCATCTAAATAGGTTAATTAAAAATTGAATCTTCTATTTTATAGATTGTATCGATTTTAGCTTAGTAGTTTTTCTTTACTAATTTATATGGAAAAATTCCTAAAATATAAACTGTTTATTATACAAGTGGTAAAATAAAACATTTTGTACAACCGGCTTCAATATAAATAAAATTAGAACATCATCAATGAATTCGAAGTCAATTAAATACACATTATTAAGTATAGCTCAAAAACTACTGGTCAGATCTTGATCAAATTATATGGGACCACAAAACAAGTACCAGCTTTTAAATAAAAAAATAACCATCAAAATCAATTCATAATTGACGAAGATATCACGTAACTCAATTACAAAAAAAATCGGAGGCGAATTGTCAACCTGTTCCATACTTAAAATATACTCATTTTACCGCTCTAAAAAGTTTCTTTAGAATGGTTCTTACAAACGCAATACCATTGTTCAAAGTTGACTCAAGTCTAGCCTTTTTAATATTTTCCGCTCACAAAAGCTCTGGTGTCTCTTTATTGTTTGCGTATCAAATCTAGATAGTTATTATACTAAGCAGTTAAAAAGTGCAGACTTTGAATTCTACGATAAAAAATTAGGAAACTGAGTCGTAATTATGTTTTTAGAAGACGTAAATATAATAAAAAATAACACTATAATGCAATGAACCGTGTAGTGGCAGTGTAATAATATGTTCTGCCTCATATTATCCCGTGAGTGTCATAAGAGGTAACACCTCAAACTCACACACTCACACTTCCTGGTAACACCTCAAATATAATAAAAAACTGCGGTTACCAACCCGTCTGCCAAGCCTGATAACTCTATCAAAATCCCCCCTAAGAGGTAGCCTATGGGGAGGCCTATGTACCTACAGCAGTAGTATTTTATGGGCTGTAATAGAATGTCACGTTCAGAAACCTATCTATTAAGAAGTTCTCGACAAACTATTTTAAACAACCATGCAAGCTAAGAATTAACAAGAGGTCATTTCAATGGCGAAACGTCTGAATATTAATATTTTTTTAAAGTTTAAGTTACAGCATACTCATACGTCCCCCGGCACACACCTCCTATTTTTGAAAGAGGGTTTTAAGGGCAAGGCATTGTTCGTCGAGCTGGCGGACATCACAGGTCTTCAAAATGTTTTATTGTTCGAGGTGAACGCAAAGCGAGAGAGGTTGAACTTTACTGTTGACTTGACAAGGTCATGCTACCCGCGTTAATTACACCTGGTTTACTAATTTTGTACTAATGAATACGCGAAGAATGGCATTAAGAGAGAATATTAATTAATAAATTTATTCCTTTAATTACGATTTTTTTATTTCTCGGCCATGTCGGTTTTCTCAAGATGTTTTCTTTCTTCTTGTACGTTGTAAATCAGCATTTAAAATTGCAATTAACAATTTTACTGATGCCGTCTAGGATCGAACCCGGGCTGCTTGCGTACTATGTTTGCAAATACAGCTTAGACTCTAAGCTACAACGGCTTTTTACGATTAATATTCATCAACGTTTTTATCTACATGAGACCGTCCTTTAGTCATCCTTTTGAACCACCTGCAATGCACTAGCTTTTCAAGTGGTACATGAAAGGACTTTTTTTCTTAACCGACAAGTATAAAGCATGAATGAGATTTTGCTTTTGCTGTGTATCCTTCTTTATTGCCCTTTCATCTTTTTCTTTGCATTTACCAAACAGTATACTTTATTGATGATTGTCTTCAAAATAAGAGACAGTTAACTAAAAATATACGTGGATAATATACGTAAATTTTCGCGCCTGTCACTCAGATGGTTGGGTATAGACAATAGACTTCCATTTAGCATGATCCTTACACACCTCTATCGCTTTTGTCACATCCATAGAGCTAGGCTTATATGCTCGGGAAGAAAAAATATTTAGTGTGTTATTAGATACTTTATTAGACTTTTTTTTTCTTTTTTTATAGGATAGGGGGAAAAACGAGCACACAGTCCACCTGATGGTAAGTGTTTGCTGTGGCCCATAGTCATCTACATTTATCCTCACTTGCGAATCAAAATGCAGATGCGTTGTCACCCGTGAGGACTAAGATGGAATGCCTCCTTTCCAATAAAAAGGGTCTCCGGTTCTCTACACTCACCAAACGAAACACAGCAGTATTAAGCTGCTATTTTACGCGGGTATTCTGTGAGAGCGTGGTCCTTCCCCGGTCGAGCCGACCCATTCGTGCTACAACTATACTACTAATATAGCTGCAGCATGGCTCTACCACGATGAAAAGACTAGAGATATAATGACATATTATTTTTATTTTCTTAGTTTAGTATACCTTCATCCATACATTGCAGCTTATATATATTTCCAAGTACACTGCTGAACATAGACCTCCCACAATGATTGTCGGATTGCTGAACATAGACCTCCTACAATGATTGAGGGAA